CAAGCGCAACCGCGCGCCACGCGCGGCGCGGGAAGCGTGTTGCCCCCATCTTTTGCCACTGTCCGCATTTCCAGCAAGTGAGCAGCCGCGAAGCCCAGAATCACCTCACACGTCCGGACCGCGCAAAGTGGCCAGTCCCTATAGCCACCCTCCTGGGAATTTCTCAAGATAGAGGACCCCCTTTGGTTCGTATTCAAATGGAGACTCAAAGGAAACCAACCATTTATCGATTTATCGGCACCCTATTTTGCGAAACCCCCGAACTGTCCAATATTGTCCAATATCCTGTGGTTACCTTCCCTTCGCCTCCCGTTGGTCCAAGGATGGAATTTTTGGACTCGTCGCCTGCAGAGCTTCCTCTGGCAGAAACCCCATCGAGCTGCGCAGCTGCCTTGACAAACTGCACACGAAGCGCGACTCGGTCAGCATGACGAAGGGATGTGCCAAAGCGATGGGCACTGTTTGAAAGGCCACAAAGCAGTTTCTGCGCGCCTGAGCGTTCTTCTGGCCAAATCTGATGGCTCCATGGTCAGCTTCAAAGACCAAAGTTCTGCGGAGCCGGCATGGGCCGCAAAGCTGATGCGGACTTTGCTTGTTTTCATGCACTGGACGCTTCACAAAGCCGGCCGGGCTTTCTGTGAATCAATCAGGTAGTATCTTCAGGTATATTTGGTTGACGTTGGAAGGGGAGCAAAAATTTAAGTTTTAGCAGTTAAGTGTGGATTTCCCACTAAACCACAATAAGCAAAGTGTGTAGGTGTTGCGGGCAATTTTAGAGGTACTCCCCGCCAACCAAGCAAGAGACGCGGGGTCCTCTGCCGGGCAGGCCGTTACAGCCTTGGCTGACCCGTCTGAGACACACTCAAAAATTTCCTGCTAATTACCAGGAGGGAAAAGAAGTTCGCAAGCCCTGAGTTCTTCTCTCTCTCTCTCTCTCTCTCTCTTTCTTTCTTCATTTTTTTTTGGGGGGGGGGTTCTTCTCTCTCTTTCCTTCTATTTCTTGGGGGGGGTGCCCTGAGAAATTCGATTCAACTCCTCATGGGCCTGGGGGCTCTGGCCCTCGCCGCCGAACACCAAGAGCTCTTTGCCTGGCACACGCAACGAGCTGAAGCTGCGGGAAGTGCCAAGTCCGCATGGATCCACCGGGCTGTGTTCATGAACCTGTGCATTCCACCTGGCTGTTTGTTCACGAACAATTCCACTTAGGGCAGCCACCATTGGCGGATGCCCATCCACCGGGCGTAGGAGCCTTACCTTAACCACACAGGAAGGCGCCCGATTCGCGTGGCAGTTTGCCAGTGACTCGTCCCAGTGGGGAGGCAGCTGGAGAGCTGGCAAGGGAGGCTCCGGTCTTGACCTCTTCAAACATCCAACGGAGCCCACCCCGCGGAACAAATACATAGCTGTTCTCATCAAGAAATCTTGAGATTCCCCATGGCACCAACAGTGGTCGCCACACTTCTGTCTGCACTTCTCTTGGTCAACCCTTTGGCCTCTTTGATGTACCCCCATTACGCTCGGACCCAACATATCAACCAGAAGCCGCACTTCCGACTGCGCGCCCCGCGCGCCTTTGGCTCCTTCGACCAGGGTGGCGCCAAAGTTCCCTGACCATGCAGGGGCGCCTGCAAGGCCAGTGAAAGAGTGACGGCCAAAAATTATCGAAATATTCATGTTGGCTGTATTGTTTATTTGCTGTCCCCTTTGCTTCTCCCCCTTTTGAAGGGAAGTCTCGACTTGCACCCTGGTGTACACCGGAGGTTTGCGCGTACCAACTGCAGGTGATCCGTTCCAGAAGTACCTCTGCCAGTCATCTGTCAAAACTTCCGGCCCCCTTTGGCCAAAGATATGGTTCACAACGCGTGGTTTAGACGAAAAAGCTTGCGCGGCAAGTCGCCGATTCGGAGCCATGCCCCACTCGATCCTTTTGGGCTCGTTTCAATCGGAGCCAACGGGGCCAGCACCAAAAGGGCATCACCGCGCCTGCTACTGGAACTCGAAACCAAACGCCAGACTGCAGGTTCAAGGCCCACAACGCCAGGCGGCCTGTCCCGTTGAGCTCACAGGGGAAGGTAATTAACCCGATTCCAGCAACAAAAGTAGCGGCGGCCAGCAAAGATACATTGTCATTGAAAGTGATTGTATATATATATATAAACAACATTTAGCAAATGTATGTATTATACGTAGAATATTTCGATCGACCGACAACTGGCGTACAGTATGGACCATTCCTCCAATCCACGGTCCCTCTCGCGTCGCCACCGCCCGCCCGCCCGCTCGATCTCTCGCCGTCGCGCCCTCTCGGCCGCGATCCAGCAACAGCACGCCCTCGCTGCACGGAGACATGAAGCCACGGCAGGAGATCACCTGGCGAAAGTCGCGCCCTGCGGGGAGCCACGCTGCGCGGACAAAACCGGCTTCTCGTCTGCGAGAAAAGTGGCGCGAACTTGTGGGTTGAAGGGCAACCCAACCACTAAACCAACGAAACAATCCTACGGAACCGGACGATGTGCTGGGAACCGCCAAGTTAAATGGGTATTGGGTTTGTCCTTGGCGATCGGAACCCGTCCCTTTTCGCAGTTTTGGGTCTGATGTGCAGTGTCAGGTCCCTGACATGCCTTCATCTTTCAGAAGCGTCATGCTGTGACTGGTACTAGGTGCGCTCGCAGCTTTGACGCAACTAATCGAACCTGCGTGACGTGAGAGTCTGAGCATCGGCTAAGTCTGCGAGCTGGCGCTTTGCGCCAACCTAAGCGACTGGGATCTAACGGATGGTCTAAGCCCGTGGGAAATAACTCTGCCAGCGTTTCTTTCGCACCCACTCCCGGCTGCCTGTGCCTGAAACCCGCGCATTCTGCGGCACTGGAAACAACCAATTTCCTTGAATGGCTATCACGTCAGCGGCAGCCAGGAAGTGAGGGTGAAACTTGCAAGGGCTGGTTCAAGAACCAGTGCTGCATCAATTCCGTATGGAACTCTTCGCAATTTCCTACAAAGTAAAGGCACGCTCTGCTCTGGCTGCTGCAATCTCCTCGCGAATCTCAGGGTCGTCCAAGTGACTTTCTCTTGCACCAAACCTCGCGACCGGTCAGGCGAAGGTTATTGCACAGAGCATGGTTCCTCGCATTGCCTTCAGTTCAAGCCAAGCTGCATCCTCCGCATCCGTCGGCATTCCTAGCGACAAGATGGCAACAAACAACACGTGCCTGGGTCTGCAACAATAAAAGCTGGTGTCCGTTCACTCATTTACGGTGCGGCAATCCCTTAATAACCATCTTTGGAGCACAACTCTCCCCCCCCCCCCAGCAGGAGGGCTTACACACAGCCAAGTGTCTGCCAGAATGGCATGCACATCCATGCTTCTTGCCGGCCCCTTCAGGCGAGTGCATCCATCCAGAAACTCCTGATCGCCAAGCGCCGCGGTTTTTCCCGCCTCTCTGCATTCAGCAAGCAAGGGGGCCATACGTCAAAAAGGCCCGGACAATGGGGCAGCTGCCTGTGTAGGATCCAAATGAAAAGCTGAAACTCCGCCTATGGATACTTTTTCGTCACGAGATATTCATGATCTTGTCACGGTTTTCCCAAGGGCCAGGATTTTGCGATGTGAGCGACAGACTGGGCACCAAGAATTCCCCACCTGCATGCTCACAGTTTGCGACTCATCGACGTCCAGAAGGCCGAACAGCAGGTCCTCAGAGTTCAGTCTGGCCCCTGCAAGATGATCTCAGTGATGCGCCAAGAATCCGCATCTGTGGTGTCGAAACCCAGGACACGGAAGTACGCGTTTAGGGTGGAGTCTTCCAGCATCTCCCTCGCAATTGCACGGACTTCACATCGTAGCCAGTCAACTCTCAGGCAAACACTTGGTTGCTGTAACGACCCCCCTGCAAAAAGTTGTTTTAAACTTTTTGGGGCTTTAGCGGAAAACGCCTTGATTTGGCAAAAAGCTAAAGTCTAAAGATCCGTTGCCCAATAGCAGTCAACAGAAGCAGCAAATGGCCTGATTTCCGCCCGGGTCACTTCTCCAGACCCATCGTCGTCAATTGTCCTTAGGGCAATTGAAGGCACAACCCACGCGGCGTAGGCGCACATGGACATCCCTTGCAGCCTGCTGCTGGGTGGCTTGAAAAGTGCCTTGATCTGCCGCAGGTACTCTTCCTGACACAGCTCTCTCTATTGAGCTGCTCACGATCCACACAAAACTTCGTAGTCAACGCCTCACGCTGATTTTGCAACCCTTCGGCTTTCTCTAATGTACATCAAAACCCGGAAAAACATCTTGCAAATAACCTGCTGGGATTGTACGGGTTCATCACGGGTTTTCCACGGGTCCTGAAATACAAAAAACCTGGTGTTTGGAAAGCCCGGCTTGAAGGCAAACAAAATATGACCGGAAAAACCCCCGGTTTTCCCGGGCAGATCCTCCTTTTGTGGGTCTTGATGTACTGAAGGCTTGGCCTCGTTCTGGCCTCGTGGCGTTCTGGCCTTCCCTTCCGCCAGCCTTGGTCTCGATCTCCTTCTCGATCTGGAAGTCGCGCTGCTGGCTGGCCAGGTTCAGCGCATTGTCCACAAAGGCGCCGGTAATTACATTCAGGACCTGAGCAAAAAGCGCGCGCGCCAAACGCCAAGTTGCACAGGTGTGGGCAACTAGCGCCCGGACTGCCAACATAGTGAACGCCACGTAGAGAAGCAAAAGGGCGGGCGAAATCCTTGCCGGATGGCCATGGTTCATTGAGATGTTGGTGCTCATGCCCTGCGTGTCACTAATGTGCTGCCGAGCGTCACATCAATTTCGATCAGCACATCCGAAACCTCTCCCCAACTGACACCACCCAGCATTGCCTGCACCAACGTGTAGGCCTCGTGACA